GGAAGTGCTGATCGCTGGAGCCTGCTACAGCGCTTACTTTGCTCAGGGTAAACCTATTTGATGTTCTATCTCTGGAGCGGTGTACATGTCAACACTATGTTATAATCTATTACTATAACATAGGTCGAATACATGGAAGCAAAGTAGAAGGCGTCGGGTGCATAGGGGTGTCCCGGTAGACGTTCTTCACTTCCTGCACTTGCGTTCGTCGTGCTCAATACTTAGAGCAATAACTTGTATCATAGAGAATGAATGACAACATGTATGTATATCATAGACCAACTTCGACTTCGAAGGAAATTCGAAGAACATGCCGGGCGCATAAGGGTCCCAATAGCTGTCCTTCGTTACTAAACTCTCAATTCCAAGCGACAGCCATGCACAATCGAGATACCTGGCGCGCTGAAGCCCCACTAGACCGCAATCAGCTCATTTACGTGGGTCGCTATGGGAACATCATCCCTAAACCCTAAACCTTGGGACATCTTTCCAGGGGGACCGGTCAGTGGCCCAATAGTCACACGGATTCAATATTGGTTTTCAATACTCGGGGTGGCCCATGTTCGCTTAGGGCCTTGAGATACAAAAGGAAATGCATCTGCCCCACACTGCATAAAGCCAAAATAGGTTTTAGGGTTTCGGGATAAGGCATTCTACAACTTTCCCAGCAACCTGTTACTGTTAGAGGCCTGGATGAAAACAAGGGTTCAGGCCTCCCGATAGCGTCCTCATCCCTAAACCCCAAACCCTAAATCCTAAACCCTAAACCATCCTATATCTTAGAATTCCTTTATAAGCCACGAGGCCGGCTACAGGAAGCTTCGTTTGATTGGACTGACAAGCAAATGTGCTGGGCTCTGGCTTCGCAAAGGCCCAATGCTGACACGACCTGGGTGGTGCAGGGTTTCCATGCTCTTAGGAGGATAATTAAACATGAAGTAAAAATATATATACAAACAAATTAAATAAATGATCAGGACTGGCCGAGGGATGTGCTCCCGAAAGCCCAAAAACCTACACATGGTTGGACCGCTGGTGTCAGGTTGAGTTGCTGTTCTCGGCAAGCTTGCATCGCCCACCGTGCACACGGAAAGTCTAAAGACTCAAGGCTGATGCCCCTTAACCCTACATATCCCTACATAAGAACTTAATTGAGAATCCTTTCACCTCTAAACCACCCTCACATGCCTGATGCCACTCGGAACAAGAAACAACCAACGCCACTGTCTTGGTTGCTTTTAATCCCTAAACCCTAAACCTTCAACATCGGCCATGCCACTAGATTCGCCACCACTGCCTTGATCGATCCTAGCCATAGTCGCCAGGGCATGTGTCATCACTCCGAGCGTGGTCCCCCCCCCCCAAAAAAAAAAAAGATATTGAGGGTTTAAGGTTTGGGCTGATGGGCTGAGACCTGTATGAAGCCTCTGCAAGAGGGCTGAGTCCTGAAGCAGCTTCCAGGTTCAGAAAGGGTTTAGGGTTGATGAGTTTTACCTCGACAACGTTCGTCCACCAAGCCAGAGCCCAGCAGTTCTTCTCACCAACAAGGTGTGGCCCGCGTGGAATCGTCATGGTCAGAGAAAACTGCCTTGTTGGGGTTCAAGCTCTAGGAACAGAGCCTTCAGCCCTTATGGGTCCTAAACTCTAGGCCCGAAGTCTAAACCCGGTCCCGAAAATCCGGAATGGATGCGCCCTTGCAAATCAATGCTTTAGGATCGGGGTCAACTTGAGCGGTTAGCAGCCCCCCGCAGAAGCTCGATAAGAAAGCCAGTTGCACGAAGCATCCAAAGTGCCGTGCCGTCCATCGGAAAGACACAGACCAAGAAGTATGTACCCGAGGTGCGAGCTCCTGCAGAAGCCGAATGGTGACGGCATTCTCCGCTATGCAGCCGCTGCTGCAGGCTCGAGAGGGCAGGGTCGGACGGACTGCAGCACACAGACGGAATCGGGAGTTTGGATTCAAGGCTTGTGGCTTCGTTGCCTTACAAAGCCTGAAGCTTGACCCAGAACCCAAGTCATGGAAACACCAAGGGTGGTGCTGCTAATTGCCAGGCTGTTCAATTCAGTTTGCTCATGTTTGCTCGGGTTGAGCACTTCGTTGCCCGAATCCAGGGCCCCTTCGGAGGTCCGTACGTACACCAGGGCACATGGGGTGTGCCTGTCAGGGATGTTGTGAGACTGTTGGCATTCGTTGGGTGCGTTCCCGCATGTTGGCGCTGGCAGTGGTGGGGGTTAGGCAACAGCCGCTTCTCTTCGTCCATATCAATGTCGATTCTCGCCAGGGGTCTGTGTCTAGCCATACCGGCGTTGCGTGTTCAACCGACATCGTTGCCAGAATGTGCTTCCACGGAAGCTCTTGCTTTGGGGACACAGCGGCATGCGGGCACGATGCCTTTACGTTGAGCTTTGTGGCTTTGTGGCATATACAAGCTGAGCGCGCGCTACACGGCTAATGATATCTATGCCCGTGATGCTAACAATGGTCTCTCGTGTGTTGGTTCGCAGAGCTGGGCTCGGGCTGGTTTAGGGTTTAGGGTTCAGGGTTTAGGGCTTCATGATACTCCAGAAAGAAAAGTGTATCACATTGGGCCAGTTGCGCGAGTCGAAATCTGAGCAAAGAAGCCTTGGACTTTACGAAGGTGGGATGCAAGTCCGTGGGGAAGTAGAGCTCAGACGAGGAGGCGCAGGGCGGGGTTGGGTTGTTCAGGTTGATGATGTCCGAACGAGAAGCTTACAACTCCAGACTTCACCTGTAAGCCCTCAATCGTCTACCCTCTCCCCGTGTGTCCTTTGAAGATGTGGAGCCTGTAGTATGAGTTTTGGAGTTTAAAGGGTTTAGGCAGCAGCCTGTCATGGCCAGAATCGAGAATTGAGGTCTTCCGGGCCTTCAAGGGGCATGCCGGCGTAGAACCCTTTAGCTGAGCAGTCATCTTTGGGCGCCGTTTCCTTGAGGACACTTGGTTGGCACATCCTTCGTTGGAAGAGCTAGAAGGTGCTCTGTCTTGAATCGGCCCTGAGTTAGCTTTTGTTAACTTCAAGCCGTCTCACTTGAGCGCCCAAAAAGCCTTAGAAACACCTGGCAAAACCTCGACCAGCACGATGAACAGGAGGGGCCCGTGTTGCCCTCTTCCAGGAGGCCGCTGCGGAGGTGCAGACCCCATCTCTTGAACCTACCAGGATGGGCTATTATGGGCTCTTCGGCCTTCAAAATCCCCATAACGAAGGGCCCTTTAAGGAATCATAATAGGGTATCGTAGCCCATCCTGGTAAAGGAATCTCATCTCAACCTGACGCTGCAAGATCAGAGGCTTTTCGAGGCTGGTGAGTTTTGGACGGGTCCACACTAGAACCCATATGAGACCGAATCACCGTCGCTTGCTTGGTTGACGGTTTAGGACAAGTTTAGGAATTCAGGGAGACTTGGGGTCGAGGTACCTGGCCTTTGCACGGCCGAGAATTGAGGGTTCGGAAAGAGGTGGGGAATCAACAACCGTTCTTGCTTGTGTCAGACGCAAAGCTTCCCTGTGGCTCATGGCCCTGCCATTGCAGCACTAGGGCTCCAAGAGACTCTTCGCTTTCAAGGCGTCGGCAGAACCTAGAAGTCCGGAGGGGCCTTCTTAAGCATGGCATAGCAGCATCATGGGATATCATAGTGTCACACACACATGAAGCCCTGGGGGTACATCGCAGTAGCCTAGGTATTCCCTTTTTTTGCAATGGTTTTTAGGAGCTTGAGTGAGTCGCTGGTTTCTAAGTTGTCGTTCATGGCAGGAGCTCCGCTTGCTGGTTTCTCAGCCCATATTCACTCCCAGACAGGGCCTCAATCCCATCATGAGTCACCCCACTCTGTAGCCATCAGCTGTAGATCTCAAAGACCTCCAAACAAAACCCTAAGCCCTTAGCCCTAAACTCTAAGCCCTATCCCTACACGCCGGTCTAGAAAGAAATGCTGCCTTGCCCACGTTGAGTTCCATGCAAGACTCCACAGACGAGGCCGGCTCTTCAAGGATACAGTTAGGGTTTAGGGTTTAGGGTTTAGGGTTTAGGACTAATACAGGTGCTGGCGTCTTGCATTCAGCGCAAGGTCGACTTAAGCTTCTTTCTGGGTCGCCTGAGATCAGGACTTGGGTTGTGGGTGCTTTTGAAAGATATCCGCAGAATTTCCCTAAACCCTAAACCCCAAACCCTAAACCCCAAACCCCAAACCCTAAACCCTAAACCCTAAACCCCAAACCCCAAACCCCAAACCCTAAACCCTATGAATGAACCCTAGGATCCCAAAGCCATACTCCCACGTAAGGCCGATGCCCGAACCCAGACCTTAGGCATGAGAGCCGGCTTGGAGGTTCATGGTACTTATGAACCTATTTAGGGTTTAGGGTTTAGGGTTTAGGGTTTGCGGTTAGGGTTTAGGGTTTAGGGTTTAGGGTTTAGGGTTTAGGGTTTAGGGTTTAGGGTTTAGGGTTTAGGGTTTGCGGTTTAGGGTAACTGTACTTAAGGACCCCCTTCAGGAGTTGGGCCCTGTAGGTGCGGCTAGTATACGCGTCGGAATATTTTTCGAATGGTATTCCCTTATGGTCCCTTTATAAGTATACTAGAATAACCCCCCCCCAAAACCCTGTTCTAATGATTAAGGCTCCTATAGTAGGCCTTTCAAAACGTGCAAGGGTCAGAACAGTGCCTGCTAGATCTTGTGTAAGCAAACGCAGCACACCGAGCATCCTGTCGGAAAGTCTTTGCACGACTAGGTAGCCCAGTGGTGCCCTTTTCCCTTTGTTTGGTTCAAGGTCCCCCTTATAAGGTAACCAACCCCCAAAAAAGCGTAAACCCTAAACCCTAAACCCTAAACCCTAAACCCTGAACCCTAAACCCAAAAAAAGGGTACCCCTATTGTGATATATGGTTACTGGGCTACCAAGTCTACCTTCGCCCCAAGCTCCGGCGTCGGCTTTAGTTACACACCGCGTCAGCCAGCTAGTCATGCTGCGTACGTGTGGCAAATGGTCGGGTCCGAAGCGCTAGGGCTGACAACCCTCACGGTTTAGGGTTTAGGGTTTAGGGTTTAGGGTTTAGGGTTTAGGGTTTAGGGTTTAGGGTTTAGGGTTTAGGGTTTAGGGTTTCGTAATTTCTGCAATGAGCTGCTTCACACATACATCCTGAAAGGCTTCCTGGGGCGAACCCCAGGAGAGGCTGAAGACGACACTGTTCTGACCCCGAAGCTACTCTTCAACTCAGAAGGCCAAACACAATCAGTTCTAACACCAACAAATCCTGAAAAAAAAAAAAAAAACAAATTCCCAAGCCCAAGCTTCACAGCTGCGAGCCCGAAGTCCGACCTCCCTGCCCAAAGCGAACCTCAAGACCCCCAAAGCTCCAAGTACCTGCGCACAGGTTTAGGGTTTAGGGTTTAGGGTTTAGGGTTTAGGGTTTAGGGTTTAGGGTTTAGGGTTTAGGGTTTAGGGGAACAAGAAAACACGAGACAGGCCATCTTCCTGGCTTCCTCGGGAGACGTGGAGTACTTGCGCCCCTCGAAGTCGGCTGTCCGGCAGGACCCTGATTGAGCACGGTCCCAGCCTGTTGATCGCGGGTTTCACTTTTTTTTTTTTTGGGTGGGGGGGGGGGGGGGGGGGGTTGGGTTGGTTGGGGGGGTGGGGGGGGGGGGTTGCAAGATGAAGGCCAGTCTGGCTGTTGAGCAGTTCTTGAGAGGGCGCAGCTTCCCCTCCCGAGCTTTCAGGGCTCGGGTTGAGACTTGGGGAAGAGGGCGAAGAGTTGAGGGGCTCAGGGGTCAGCCTGGGGTTCAGGGTTCAGGGCCTGTTGGGATATCGGATCCGGCCAGGAATGCCGAGAGGTTCGCTCCTTCACGCGTCCCGCTGGCAAGGGCATGTACCAGCGAGGGAAAGGAGGCTTCATGCGACCTGAGCGTCTGGGCTTCAGGGTTGCAGCTTCAGGGGTTCATCAGAAGGGTGGAAGTTGGATTTAGGCCTGACACATGGAGGAGGGGCCTGCCACTGATGAGTACGAAGCACATACAGTATGGTTTATCCAGCCAGGCACTTGCATCCTTTCAGTGTCTGCGTGTGAGATTTTACATGTGCTTCGAGCACGCGCTTGTTTGCTTGCCGGGTTCGTGAGCTCAGTGGGGGTCTGCTGGCATTCAGTAAGCCCAGGGCCCAGGTGTTAAATCGCGAATGGCCTATAGGCGTCGATCCCAACAGGAAAAAATGGAGCCATGAACCTTAGGTGTTAGCAACTGCTCAGCTCAGTCCCAACACCGCCACCTAACCACATTGGCAACAAACACATGTAGAGCAGCTCTCATCCCGTACCCTCGGCTGCCCCCCTTGAGGCCTTTTTGTTTGAGGAAAACCGTAGAAACCCTCGGGTCGCGCGTCGCCATGCGGGCAGGCTATGGATACGGCTTCTCCTCTCATCCTCAAACCATCCTCGTTCCCTACGACTGCTGGCAGTCAGATGAGGCACGGCCCGGTGTTTAGGGTTTAGGGTTTAGGGTTTAGGGATCCTGCAGCCCTTGCATCTGGCTTGATTCTCTCAAAGTCCTCAGTGCTCAGCCCTGAAGCATGAGCTCATGAGCTCCAGGATCCTGCGCCTGAGACCCTGAATCCCGAGCCCAACGAAACACCACAACATCTGGGTCTTGGATGTTCCGGCATCCTTGTTGAAGCTTCGGGCTTTCTGGTATTGCTTGTTTTCGTGCGTGGGTCGGCGAAGGTCAGCCCTGTGACGCATGGTTTATGACGAAAGGGGGGTGCACGCAGGAGTCTCCTACGAGCAGCATGCTAGAAATGGCAGCTTATGGTTTGGAAGGTCTTTGCACGAGGTTCCCGAGCAGTTTGCACAGCGTTTCAAGAGAACTTGACTGTCAAACGGTCCTTGGGAACACGAAACCTAAAATGGTGGGGGGGTGGTATATATGCCCTATACAACTATAATATTCCTATGAAGGTACATGGACCATAAACCCTTTTGGGGTTCATACAGTCCCAAAAGTTTGCTCACGGCCCTTGAACCACACACCTCAAGGTGCACGTGGGCTGTGCCTGGATAGAGGTTGTGGCGCCACCTGGGAAAGTGTCTTGGATTCTGACACCCTAAATCCTAAACCCTAAACCCTACACCCTAAACCCTACACACAAAAGCAGTTGCCGCCCCTTAGATTCGGCCAAAGAAGCCACTGAGAATGGATGCTTTGGCCTTCTTCAAGCGCTTGGCGCCTGTATCAACTACTAGGTAGGCTCCTGGGACATTTTATATTTTTCCCTTATTGGGTTAAGAGGATCATATCTACGAATATTTTTCAAAGGGCTTTAAGGGCCATCCTAGACTATTTTTGCATCTCATCCTCAGGCACTTGATGCTACGCAGCCACAAGCGGGGTGGATGGGAGCCAGGACGGATTCAAGTTCAGGCTCTAGAATCTAGATGTCGACTCAGGGTCCATGAGAGAGGGTGGGGGAAAGGGCAGGCACAAGCGCTTCAAATCTGAATACTGCTGTTCCTGATAGTTGATTTTCGATCAAAGGCTGCTGTGGGACTCTATCAAATATGATAAAAACCAAACTTGATGAATCTGTTGACTCCTTGGACGCATCGCCATCCTCAGAAAACTTGAAGGGTTTTGCGCAGCCCCTGGCCCCGTGGATCCCAACAGCACTAGCACGAGCCACAAAGCCCGCAAAGCAGCCGCGGATCCTAATTGCCCTTTGAAATGCACGTGATCCCATCCCGCAGGAGCGTCTGTTTTCTTTCCATGCAAATGCCAAAAGCCTGAGGTCTCTACACGCCTCAGCCTCACCATGCACATGCCCAGAAAGACCATCCCACACAGCACACCCTCGCAATCACCCGTAAGACCCCAAAGTGCCCCAAATGCAAGGCTTTGGCTCAACTGCAGGTCAGCCTGCCTGTGAGCCTTGAGCTGAAGATGGTTGTTGGGTGGGGGGGGGGTGGGGGGGGGCGGGAGCAGATGCCTTCCTTGACACTTGACACTTTTTGGTAGGGCCACTGTGGGACTAAAGGGGGTGTAGACATGTGCAGACGGTTCTCGGTTTTCTTTGGCTGCTTTAGGGTTTCCACATCTGGTCTCAGGCCCATTCAGGCCGACTAAGCTCAGCGAGGTGGTGGGAAACACGACGCGCGCGCTCGAAGGTGGCGCTGTGGAGCAGTTTGCTTGCTCAGGCCCAAAGACCCTCAGGGTTTGGCGTTCAGGGTTTAGGGTTTAGGGTTCAGGGTTTAGGGTCTAGGGTTTAGGGTTTAGGGTGGGGATTTCAGTTGGCCAGAAGAGGGATCACAGTGTGCCCGCCATGGTTCTCATCGCGCGTTCCATGGAGTCCCTCGAGCCAGCGGTGCCCTCGCAGGCCATTTCTCTCACCGAGGACCATACCCTAGACCCTAGACCCTAGACCCTAAACCCTAAACCCTAAACCCTAAACCCTAAACCCTAAACCCAAACCCTAAATGGAAGACCCTAGGGTCCCAGCATGTCCCTGAGCTTGGGGGATTTGACTGTCAATATGGGCTCTGGGGCGTGCTGTGCATACAAGGTGGGGCCCCCTAGTTATAAGTAGAGTTATAAGAGCCCTAAATTGGGTTATAAGGATCCTAAATTAGGTTGTAAGTCCCTCAACGGTTGTAAGTCCCTTAACTCAGTTAGTATAGTAAGGGGGCCCCTCCTTGTATCTGTGCGTGCTCTCAACACTCATCCAGGTGTACAGACAGAGCGCCTGAGAACTACAAAAGGCTGCAGTGCAGCCTGCTACTTCGTTGCGACTGCCAAAACCCTGCAGAGCGTTCGCTCGCAACATCTTTTCTGTTTGCTTTTGAGGTTATCCTTTGCTTGCTTTCTGCCTTCTCCCACTGCTCACCGCCGTGTTCGAGCTCACTCAGCCTTCTGAAGGGGAGTGGCAAACTCTGCGCCGTAAGCGTAGCAACTCCAAAGCTAAGGAAAAGAAAATGGGAAGCGGCAAACCACCCCAAATCTGACTCCCTAAACAGTGTCAGATCAGGCTATGATTCGGGATGTTGTCCAGTCGTCCTAGCCGCTGGTTTCGTCACAGTCCCGACGATGTGCTGATTCTCCCTGTGCAGTGTCGTGCTGGTGCCCAGATTCCAGAAGCCGCGCCGAGAGTCAACCCCCAAAGAAGCCAACCGAAATCTGATGGTACCATGGATCCTCTGGGGAGCGGGGGTGCTCTGAAAGGGAGACTCTCTGCAGGCCCTGAGGCAGAGGCGAGGGAGGTCAGGAGAAATCAGGGGGAAGCAGTTAGTTGCCGACAGAACCCCCGGGACATGACAAAGGAGACTGACCTCAAGAGGAGACGGGGGAGTGAAAAGTTTCACTAAACTCTCACCCAACCCAACAATAGACAACATCAAGCCCCCCCCCCCACCAAAAAAAAAGCAGGGCGTGAAGCTGGCAAACCCCGTGTAAAAAGGGAAGTAGCCGTAAACCCTAAACCCTAAACCCTAAAAGGCCCTAAACCCTAAACCCTAAACCCTGAACCCTGAACCCTAAACCCTAAACCCTAAACCCCAGTGCGGTTCAGGCAGGCAAACTTAAAAGGCTCAAGCGGCAAGCCTAGGCCCGGAACATGCGGCCAACAGCTGAAGCCTTTCAACCCAAGTTCCAAATTGTTCGGTCTAGGGTTTGGAGTTTAATCTCAGCCAAAATTTAACCCGCAAGAAGTGCTAAACCCTAAACCCTAAACCCTAAACCCTGGCTTTTGTGCTTTCTGATAGGACGCCCTGCGATCGGTCCTGGGGCCATTGCTGGAGCAGCAGCTCGAGGACTCTTTGGCCGTGAGAGGCTTCCGGTTTGGTGCTTCGAGGTGATTCGAAGGGTTTAGGGTTTAGGGTTTGGGGTTTAGGGTTTAGGGTTTAGGGAGTCCAAAGGTTCCAAAGACCTCCGTCGACGTGCGCTGGGAGGGGCGCTTGGGCCAGGAACAGGGAGGGGGGGTGAGGGCCATATTCCTTACTGTTTTGATTATTAAACCTGCATTAGGGGAATCTGGAGCCCTTACCCCCCTTTTCGTTCCACCCCCTGGTTCCTTATGATTTATGACAGTCCAACTTGTTCGGTCTCAAAGTAGGACTCGGGTCGCTCCGACGCAGGATATCATGTTTAGGCCCCAAGGTTCAGCATGCGAACGAAGGTTGCCAGAAGGCTCTCGCTTCAACGGTTGGGCAGTTCTAAAGTTAACCGATGAATGAGTAGACCTCCCCTAAACCCTAAACCCCAAACCCTAAACCCTAAACCCTAAACCCTAAGCCCGACCGGACCTGCCTTCAAGGACAATTTTTTGCGACACCACCACGCCTTTCAACAGCAGGCGCTGCGTACACAAGCGAGCCCCTGTCAACACTTCGCTTGGCGAAAGCTGCCAGACAAGGGTCCCCTGTTTCTGAAGGCCTCGTCTTGAGATTTCGGCCCTGAGATTCCTGGAAGGCCATAGAATGTAAAGTTTAGCTCCGAGTTCCTAACAGCCTGTTCCTCCTCCAAGTCAGGGTTTTGGAGTCTGGATTCAAGGGGCCATTGCCGTATGTCGGAATTCTTACACGTAAACTTCGCAGCACTTATGATGATTAAACCACTTCCGCGTACCTCGCAACTGTAAACCATGGCTGGTTCTGCAGTACTTAAGCCTCTTGGATGGGTTCTTCATGGTTCAACCTCCAGAGATGTGCATAATCTGAATCCAAAGGTGCTGGCATCAATTCAGTATAGCCATGTCCCTGATGGGTTCGCGGCTACCGACTGGCCTGCATCCTGTCGGCACTTGAGGTTGGGGGCTTCGGCTTTCGGTTTGGAAGTTTATCATTTGGATTCGAGGTGTCCCCGCAGTCAGCCATTTATTGGCTTCACGAAAGAGTCGTCATATGCCATATGCCTCTGACACAGGTCGTCGTCGTGACGGTCGCTGTTGTGCGGATAATAATTGGTCCAAGCAAACACTAGCACCTCGCCGAAAATGTTCTGGGTGGACATTCTATGTGCCGCTTATGTCCGATACTCGCTTTGGGAGAGTAGGCTTCGGCGGCGACGGGGGCAGGCAAAGAACACTGGTCTAGGACCGGACATTAGATCAAGTACCTGTTTGCCTTCCCTTTCCCTACCCCCCACCCCACGCCCAGAGCCTGCGCCTGCAAGCACGCAGCAAGCTTGCCTTCTCCTATGCGACTCCAAGCTTAGGATTATTTGCAAATTGCGCGGGGCGGCAGCACACATATGTAACACCCGACCAGGACGCCAGCATCGTGCCCGTGTCGCAGTCTGAGCCAAGCTACTTACCAAGGCGCCCGGGGGCGGGCACAGCAAGGTCCTATTTTGCATTCTATTTTCTGTTTGCAGCTGCGTGGGGCTAGGGTTTAGGGTTTAGGGTTTAGGGTTTCGGGTTTCGGGTTTAGGGTTTAGGGTTTAGGGTTTAGGGCTTAAGGTGACAGAGCCGCTCAGCTTTCGGAAAGGCTTCTGAAGCAGCGCAGCGCAGATTGGCCTTCATTCAAACTCAGCTTGGACTGACACCCCGGAAACAGCCACCGTATAGAACGGGTCCGGGCCGGTCACTTTGCCCACTGGCATGCTGCCACCCCGATTCCCCCCCCACCCCCTCCCAAGCTCAGAGTCTGCAAGCCCCCAAAATCCGTATGCCTAAAGGGCCGAAAGCACTCTCCTGAAGCCTAACTTTTACGCACGAAGTCCGTCGAGGCCACGCGCCTCAAAGTCGTCACTGTCAAGACAAGGATCCGGTGTGAGCGCCGGAGCAGAGACACGAACGCAGATGGAGCCTTGGAATACATGGGAGGGTTTCCGACAGTAGGGGTTCTAGTTTTAAAAGGGACACCCCTATGTGGGGAAATAGCCAGTATGGGTTTCGAAGAGGTGGCGCAAACGAGGGGGGTTTTCGTTGTTGCTTTTGAGCTTTTTGGGTCGTGATGGGGTTCGATGCTTGGAGGCACCTCGCTGCTGGTGTTTTGTCTTCGTCTTTGGCCGAAATCTAAACGAATCTAGGCAGCCCCCCTCCCGTAACTGCCCCTGAACCCCCCCTGCCCCCACTGGAGGAAGGAGATGGTCTTGCATTCCGTTCTCCACATCATGCAAGTACCTTGGGCACTGCAAGATGAGCCTCTCGACCCTGAGCCCTTGAGAACCCCAAACCACCTATAATTTTTAAACCCTTCAGGGTGTTCGCAGCCTACACCAGAGAAGACGTTTCACAGGAATTGGGGCAATGCACCTTCTTGATCCTTCTTGTAGTAGGGTGGTTGGGTCTTGGGGCTTGAAAGAGTGCTTCGTGTTTCCGGCGTCTCAGACTAGCTACCTTTACCTTGAGGTCCTTGCGCCATGCCTGTCGTGCGCGAGCGCCTAAACCCTAAACCCTAAACCCTAAACCCTAAACCCCAAAGGTCGAACAGAGGGATCTAGATACCCCCAGGCACCGACAGCAAGGTGCGGCTGGCCTTTGAAGGCAGATGTCGGCTCTTCATGGCTCTTGGCTTAGGGTTTAGGGTTAGGGTTTAGGGTTTAGGGTTTAGGGTTTAGGGTTTAGGGTTTAGGGTTTAGGGTTCAGGATTGTCTGAGAAGGCAGAATATGTAAGGTGCAAAAAGGGTTGGCGAGTGGCGGGGAGATGCCGGATCTTCTCTACCGCATGAGAGAGTCCGAGAGTTGAACTTCTTGGAGCCATGATCTTTGTGGTACTTTACTGTAACTTTAGATCCTTACCTTTTTTGGGCTTTTTGGGTTTCTTATTAAGGCAGCTAAAAGTTTAACTTATAGCTACCCTCCTGAGTGCAGCCAAGTGATATCGCTTCTAGGGTTGAAGCCTAGTTCGAAAAAGGGAAGCAGACTTTGGTGAACATTTCAGTTTATGGAGAATGTTAGCGAAGCACTTCTCAGAGCTTGGGACGGCAAGCA